TTTTGAGCAACAGTACCTTGCCTTTTGCTCCTTTTATAGGCCTCTGCACTCTGTTCCTTATCCTTTGAAATTCATTTAGCACTGCAATATCCTGTGTGTTTACCCTAAATCTTTTTAGCAACTGATCCCTGAATTTTATATTATCTAACATCTCGGCAATTAACATGTTCAGTTCTTTGTTTAATTATAACTTCTTAAACTGGTTCAATATTATCAAGGATGGCAGTGAACATGGTTCTGAATTTTTTCCAGGCATCGTTTACATCAGTGCAACTTATCACAGTCCATTTACAGTTGTGTAGCCTATTTACCAGTGTTTCTTTACTGTATCATCTAGTTGACCCAAATACGTAAAGTCATGGGGTTTTAACAATGAAGGTTATCAACCCAGGATAACCCAATTAAGTCAGTGCAGTATTGGGGACTTTTATTTCCAGTGTCGTCCTTTACTCTTTTTCCCCAGAATGTGACCCAAACCAATCGACTAACACTCAGGTACCAGCTTACTGCTAGATAAATATGGGAAGTAGGTGTCAGGAAACATGCCCAAAGTTTCCGGGGATTGACCCCAGACCCTCAGTGTGTGAGCTTAGGATGTTGACAACCAAGCCATGAGCACCTACCTTGATGCTGGTGAACGGCTCCTCATCCAAGGAGTTAGAGCTACCCTCACTTTTCTTTTGATTAAATCTTTTTACCACCCATTATGCAGGCATTGTATGACCCATGTGGGTTTAATGCTTCCGCATGAATAATTTTTTTTTATTAACACATCGACCATCTCCCACCAAGGCAGGGTGGCCCAAAAAAGAAAAACTTTCTTCATCATTCACTCCATCACTGACTTGCCAGAGGTACACTTACACTACAGTTATAAAACTGCAACACTAACACCCCTCTTTCAGAGTGCAGACACTGTATGTCCCATCTCCAGGACTCAGATTTCGCCTGCCAGTTTCCCTGAATCCCTTCATAAATGTTACCTTACTCACACTTCAACAGCACATCAAGTCCTAAAAACCATTTGTCTCCATTCACTTCTATCTAACATGCTCACACATGCTTGCTGGAAGTCCAAGCCCCTCACACACAAAACCTCCTTTACCCCCTCCCTCCAACCTTTCCTAGGCCAACCCCTACCCTGCCTTCCCTCTATTACAGATTTATACACTCGAAGTCATTCATTTTCTTCTGTCTTCTCTACATGTCTGAAACACCTCAACAGGTGGTTCAGACATGTAGACATTTAGAGATCTCAGCCCTCTGGATAATAGTTTTGGTAATCCCACACCTCCTCCTAATTTCCAAACTTCGAATTCTCTGCGTTATATTCACACCACACATTGCCCTCAGACATGACATCTCCACTGCCTCCAGCCTTCTCCTTGTTGCAACATTCACCACCTATGTTTCACACCCATCTAAATATAATAACTGAAAATATTAGATTCCATTTGTGACGGTGGAGCAGCATAAATGGGCACAGCTGTGTACAGTATAGCACAGTCTTTTCTTTGTTTTACATCTATTTTTCCTTATTAAATAAGGTTTTTAAGATGAAATTTCACAATATAAGATAAGATTTGTTGGGATTTTTAACCTGAAGAAGGGAGGGTTAACCACCCAGGATAACCCAAGAAAGTCAGTGTGTCATCAAGGACTGTTTTGTTTCTGTTGTGGTCCTTCACTTTCATTCCCCAGGATTTGACCCACACCAGTCAACTAACACCCAAGTACCTACTGCTGCTATTTGCCAGTGACAGCCAGGTGTAAGGAAACATTGAACCAACATTTCCTCCATCATAGGACTGAACCTGGACACTCAGTATTGAGGCGAGTTTTACCACCCAAACCACTCTTAGCAACTTCATACTTCATACATAGTACTTTACAGCTCAGTGGCAGATTCTGTCATGGGGGAGTGCACCCATAATGATGCGATGGCTCTGATTCAAGAAATTGAGCTGTTCTTTCCTTGTACACTCCTCCTACCTCTCTTTTTCTTAACTGTGCTGTAATGACTGTAAACACTTTTCCATGATTTTTTTTGGTAACTGAAAGAACTCTGGGAAAGGTGAGATCTATGTGGAAGAGTCTCCTCACATCTGTTGCTCCTGTCCACCAAGCAGTAGATAAGTCATTGGTGTTGGACAATTGTTATGGGTAGCATCTTGGAGATGGATGTAAAAGGACCATTATTAGTTTTTATTTGAACTATGATATAGAAGTTTCTTGCCGCCTTTTCAGTATGAGAGGCAGTGGCAGCAGTGGTAGCTTAATAAAACTCCTGGAGAGCAAAATGTTGCCACAAAAAATTGTTACATTAGTTGGATATGTGTCCTTTTATTTAACATAAATAAGGTCCTGAGGATATCCCTCCAAGAAAGAACTCGAAATAATGAATTAAAATTGGATAAGTTTAGATTTTGAAAGGATATAAAAAATATTTAACTCCAAATTTAGGTTACATGAATATATGAGTGAAAGGGGTTGGATTTGAGTGGGACTTTCAAATGAGTTAATAGGCTTACCAAAATGTATTCCTTGGGTAGCATTGAAAAATAGGTTGGGCAGTTTTGTTAATTGGTTTGGGTTTTAGAAGGGCATACCTAGTGTGGGCCAGTAGGCCTGCTTCAGTGTTCCTTCTTTATTTTCTTATGTTTCTTCTTAATTTCAAAACTCAGAGGAAACTGTGGAACTAGTTTTTAATAATTTAGAGATCTCAGTGGACCTACAAAACATAATTTTGTCATGAAGGGGTTAAGGACCAAAATTTTTTGACATGAAAGGGGTTTAGTCTTTGAGGGTTTGTACAGAAGGGTTACACATAAGTTTGACATGAAGGTGTTAGACTTTTACAGTTTGACATGAAGGTTCAACCAAATAAGGTTTTGAATATTAGATCCAAAAAATTTTTGACATGAAGGGGTTAGACGTAAGTTTGACATTAGAAATGAAGGTTTGTATTATTTCCTGATATTAGTAACAAGTTGCTAATTACTTAGTGTGGTCCATATAAAGTAATTAAGACTTTTAACAAAGTATTCTATTTACCTGATGTTGATGGAAGGCATAATCTCTGACATATTAATATCTTAAGAAATATCACAGAAAACTCGTAAATGCTTGCCTTAATTTTTTTGATGAAGATGCTTTTACTTATAAAGTTCTACCATCTGTAGAGAATCATACATGTAAGGTTTGTGCCATTAATATCAATGAATCTGACTCTGAAAATAACAATACACACGTACTTTGGATATTATTACTCTTAAGTCTTCAACATCTAACTCTGTAGTATCAATATTAACAGTGTCTTAACATCTCAGCAACAGTCACAAGCTGAAAATATAGTTTCCTAATTTTTGGAGATAATTTTAAATACAGTGGACCCCTGCTTAACGATCACCTCCCAATGCGACCAATTATGTAAGTGTATATATGTAAGTGCGTTTGTACGTGTATGTTTGGGGGTCCGAAATGGACTAATCTACTTCACAATATTCCTTATGGGAACAAATTCGGTCAGTACTGGCACCTGAACATACTTCTGGAGTGAAAAAATATCGTTAAACGGGGGTCCACTGTACTCTGGGACTTACAACTATAGTCTTTGTTATATAGAATAAATAACCACTGAGCCAATAAAATTTTTTTTTCCAATCCTGGTACATTTCTAGAGATGCTTTTGAACAAGAGGCTGATAAACTATTATGTCTTGGAATTATTGAACCTTCATCGTCTTTTTATTGTTCTATTATGATTAAAAAGTTGGACAATTCATAGAGGTTAGAAAAAATTTCATATGTCATAATGCATTCATGAAATGGGACTTGAAACCTGTGCCTGTCATCAAAGATGACCATTTCGAGTTTCATGACTCAAAGTACAGTGGAACCTCAAATATCGAACTTTCTTCGGTCCAGAAGGCTGTTCAAGTGCCGCTACCAAACGAATTTATTCTCATCAGGAATAATGTAAATTAGATTAGTTCATTTCAGACCCTCAAAAATACACTTATAAAAGCACTTACAAAAATACACTTACATAATTGGTTGAGTTGGGAGCAGTTCGATTTTTGAGGTTCCACTGTATTTTTTTCAGAGCCAGACATTACTCAAGATTAACCACCAGGTTAAGTTGTATTCTGAGTCCAAACCTTTAATAACTTTTCCTATACAGTGTGGATTAATGCAGTATACCACAATGTCATTCAGTTTGGTCACAGTGTGTACTACCTATATACTTTTAATGAGAGTTCTTCCTGTAGGTATTACTAACATCTCAGTCTACTTTAATAATATCTGTGTTATGACTCAGTCTTGGGTCGAACACTAAGTCACTGTCATGTTTTACAGAGATTAAGATCTCATAGTTCGACTGCCAAACCTCAGAATTGTTATATTTTTTTCAGATTTAGTGTCTCGGCTTTGTAAGATCTCATAGTTTGACTGCCAAACCTCAGAATTTTTATATTTTTTTCAGATTTAGTGTCTCAGCTTTGTTATTTCTAATAACAATTTAAGTCCTTTTCCTGTTAAGGCTAGTGGTTAACAGTCTTGTAACTTTTTCAGGTTTAAGAAACTTATGAGAAGTTTTCTGGTATCAGTGGACTTCTACAGAAAGTTTGTACCTAATTTAGCTGATTTAACTTTTTCTGATTACAGTGGACCCCCGGTTAACGATATTTTTTCACTCCAGAAGTATGTTCAGGTGCCAGTACTGACCGAATTTGTTCCCATAAGAAATATTGTGAAGTAGATTAGTCCATTTCAGACCCCCAAACATACACGTACAAACGCACTTACATAAATACACTTACATAATTGGTCGCATTCGGAGGTAATCATTATGCGGGGGTCCACTGTATTTAAGAAAACAGGTTAAGGAACCCCTGCAGTGTGCTGAAGATTCCTTGATGCATTTTAAGATCAAGCAGATCTTCCTGAATCCTCATGTTGTGGAAATCCCAGACATTAAGATTTTCTTTTTATTCACAGATGCTTCTGAAACAGGAAGGAGGAGATGCTGTGCTTCTCCAGTACTGTGATGATTCACCGTTTCCTGTGTCATTTGCAAGTAAGAAACTGCATCCTACTGAACAAAAGTACTTAACATCTGGCTGAGTGGTTAATACTAAACAAAAGTACTTAACATCTGGCTGAGTGGTTAATGTACTGTACCTTGAAACTTTCAAGGGATCAAACACTAGGTTATTCACTGAGGTTTATTGGCATTCTTTATGCATCAGCCTCCTGGGTAGCTTCCTGGCTGGTCTGCACCTTAATCTTGTCTCCAGTGTGTGTTTTAATGAAGTATTGTTATTGTTTACTTCATCATATCTCACTACTCATTCTCTTTTTACCATAAATTAAGTATTATTTGACTTCGAGGTCCCTTTTGTCAGTTACCTGACACTTCACATTTACCAACTTTGCCTTCTACGACAGTTTCTTCCATTAGCATTAAGGCTCTTACACTAAGTATCATTTCACATGGTTCAAAACACAAAATATTCTTTCTCCTCTACACTCCTCTCACTTTCAGGTACAGGTCGGCCATCACCAATCCGGTAGTCAGTTATCCGTTTTCATAATCCGGCACTAATTTCGGCTAGCATAATTTCAAATTTCATCATTATACTGACTCAGAAATTGTGCAGATGGTTGTAAATCCACAGCAGCAAGTCAGTGGAGGAGAAAGCAGTGATGAAAATGAGGAAGATATAGCAGAAAGAGTCTCTATTGATAAGTGTATTCTAACCTAACCACTCTGTAATCCAGCAAACTCACTGATCTGGCACACTACAGCTTCCAATGATACCGGATTAGTGATGGCCGACTTGTACTTTATAATCTATGCTTCACATTCCAAATTTGTTCTTGTCCACATAATTCTTGAGTTTAAACATTTATACTCCCTTACTTTCCTTTCTGAACACATGTGCAACTCCTGGGTATTTTTATTGAGGAAACGTTTCGCCACACAGTGGCTTCATCGGTTCTCTGAGCCATTCATCTTCACTTTCCTTTCTACAATTTTTTTTTTTATTGGCACATCGTCCATTTCCCACTGAGACGGTAACCCAAAAAAAGAAGACTTTCATCATCATTCACTCCATCACTGTCTTGCCAGAGGTGCACCTACACTAAGGCACTGTACTTCCCACCTCCAGGACTCAAATCTGGCTAACCAGTTTCCCTGAATCCCTTCATAAATGTTACTTTGCTCACACTCCAACAGCACCTCAGGTCATAAAAACCATTCATTTCCACTCACTCCTATCAAACATGCTCATGCACACTTGCTAGAAGTTCAAACTCTTTGCACATAAATCCTCCTTTACCCCTTTCCTCTAACATTTCCTAGGACGACCCCTTCCTCACTTCCTTCCACTACAGATTTATGTGCCCTCCAAGTCATTCTATTTTGTTCCATCCTCTCTAAATGTCTGAACCACCTCTCGTGTGCCCTCTGGACAATACTTTTAGAAACCGTGCACCTCCTTCTAATCTCCAAACTACAGATTCTCTGCATTATATTCACACCACACATTGCCCTCAGACATGACATCTCCACTGCCTCCAGCCTTCTCCTTGTTGCAACATTCACCACCCATGCTTCACACCCATATAAGAGCATTGGTACCACTATACTCTCATACATTCTCCTCTTTGTCTCCACAGACTCATCAGTGCTCTACTCACCTTTATTTCCTCATCAGTTCTATGATTCACCTCATCTTTTATAGACCCAACTGCTAACAAGTCCACTCCCAAATATCTAAATACATTCACTTCCTCCATACTACCTCCAATCTGATATCCATTTACCATTACCTAAATTTATTGTTATCCTCATCATTTTGCTCTTTCCTGTGTTCACTTTTAATTTCCTTCTTTTACATACCCTACCAAACTCTTTCACCAACCTTTGCAGAATCTCCCACAAGCAAAAAGCCATTGTGACAACTCTCACTTTGCTAGATTCTTTACCTCTTAAACCCACACCTTTTGCCAACACCTGAGCATTCACTTCTCTTACAACTCCTTCTATAAATATATTGAACAACCATGGTGACATCACGCATCCCTGTCTAATGCCTACTTTTATTGGAAAATAATCTCCCTCCTTCTTACTCTAACCTGAGCCTCACTATCCTCAATAAAACTTTTAACTGTTTTCAATAACCTACAACCTGTTCCATTCACTTGCAACGCGCCAATTTTTGGGGGGGGGGGGGGGGTTTGGGGGGGGGGGGGAAAAAGGGGGGGGTTTAAGGGGGGGGGGGGGGGGTTTTTCCCTTTTAAAGGGGGGCCGGGGAAAAAAGGGGTCCGGGGTTTTTTGGGGGGGGGGGGGGGGGGGGGGGGAAAGGGGGGGGGGGGGGGAAAAATTAGGAGGTGCCGGGGGTTAAAAAGGGGGTTGGGGGGGGGTTGGGGGGGGGGGGGTTTTTTTTGGGGGGGGAAAAGGGTTTTTTGGGGTTTTTGGGGGGGTTTTTTTTTTTTCCCCCTTTTTTTTTTTTGGGGGGGGAAAAAAAAAAAAAATTTTTTTTTTAAAAAAAAGGGGTTTTAAAATTTTTGGGGGAATTTGGGGAAAAAGGGGGGGAAAAATTTAAATTTGGGGGGGGGGGGGGGGGGGGGTTTTTTTTTAAAAGGGGGGAAAAGGGGGGGGAAAAAAAAATTTTTTTTTTTTTTGGGGGGGGGGGAAAAAAAAAGGGGGGGGGTTTTTTTTTGGGGTTTTTCCCCAAAAAAAAATTTTTTTGGGGGGGGTTTTTGGGGGGGAATTTTTAAAATTTTTAAAAAATTTTTGGGGAAAAAAAGGGGGGGTTTTAAAAATTTTATTTTTTTAAAAAAAAATTTTTTTTTTTTCAACCTTTTTTTTTTTTTTTTTTTTTCCCCCAAATTTTTTTTTTTTGGGGGAAAAAAAAAATTTTTTTTTTTTTTTTCCCCCAAAAAAAAAAAAATTTTTTTTTTTTTTTTTTAAAAAAATTTTAAAATTTTTTTTTTTAAAAAAAAAAGGGGGGTTTTTTTTTTTTTTTTTTTTTTTAAAAAAAAAAAAAAAAATTTTTTTTTAAAAAATTTTTCCCAAAAAAAACCCCCCTTTTTTTTTAAAAAATTTTTTTTTAAAAAAATTAAAAAAACCCCCTTAAAAATTTTAAAAAACTTTTTTAAAATTTCCCCCTTTTTTTTTTTCCCCTTTTTTTTTTAAAAAAAAATTAATTTTTTTTTTTCCAAAAAAAAAAAGGGGGGGTTCCCAAAACCCCCCCCAAAAAACCTCCCCCTTTTTTTAACCCCCCTTTTTTCCCCCAAAAAAAAACCCTTTTTTTTTGGGGGGTTAAAAAAACAAAAAAAAAAAAAAAAAAAAAAAACCCCCTTTCCAAAATTTTTCATTTTTAAAAAAAATTTTCCCCAAATTTTTCCCCCAAAAAAAAAAAAACCCCAAAAAAAGGGGGTTTTTTCCCCCTTTTTTTAAAAAAAACCCGGGCCCCTTTTTTTTAAAAAAACCCTTTTTTTTTCCCCCGGGGGGGGGCCCCCCCCCCCCCTTTTTTTTTTTTTCCCTTCCTTTTTAAAACAAAATTTTTTTTTTTTGGGGAAAAAAAAACCCCAAAACCCCCAAAAAAAAAAAATTTTTTTAAAAAAAAAAAAAAAAAACCCCCCCTTTTTTTTTTTAAAAAAAAACCCTTCCCTTAAAAATTTTAAAAAAAGGGGTTCCCAAAAATTTTTAAAAAAATTTTAAAAAAAAAAACCGGGGAAAATTTTTTTGGGGTTTTCCCTTTTGGCCTTTTTTTTTAAAAACCCCCTTTTTAAAAAAAAAATTTTTAAAAAAAAACCCCCCCAAAAAAAATTTAAAAAAAAAAACCCCAAAAATTTTCCCCCCCTTTAAAAAAAAAACCCCCCCCCTTTTTTTTTGGGGGGGAAAAAAATTTTAAATTTTAAAATTTTCCCCTTTTTAAAAAAAAAAAAAAAATTTTTTTAAAAATTTAAAAAAAAACCCCCCAAAAAAAAAAACCCCAAAAAAAAAAAAACCCCCCCTTTTTTTTTTCCCCCTTTTTTTTTTTTTTTTCCCCCCCCCAAAAATTTTTTTAAATTTTAAAAAAAAAAAACCCCCAAAAAAATTTTTTTTTTTCCCCCCCCCAAAAATTTTTTTAAAAAAAAGGGGGAAAAAAAATTTTTTTCCCCCCCTTTTTTTTAAAAAAAAAATTAAGCCCCCAAAATTTAAAACCCCCCGGGGTTTTCAAAAAAATCCCCCCTTTTTTTTTTTAAAATTTCCCAAAAAAAAAAAAAAAAAAAAAAAAAAACCCCCCCCCTTTTTTTTTTAAAAAACCCTTTTTTCCCCCCCCCCTTTTTTCCCAAAAAAAAATTTTTTTTTTTCCCCCTTTTTCCAAAATGGGAAAGAAAATTTTGAAATTTCATGTTGAATTCTTAGGTTTTCTGCAGCCCATTGAAAGTTTTTGGTTGTGCCCCCGGGGACCCTTCGTTTTCTGCCGGTCGCGTTTCAGGTTTGCATCTGAAAAAGGGAACGGGCTGGGGTTTGGACATCCTTGTTGTTTTCAGTTTATGAGGAAGGGGAAAAAAGGGTTGGGAAGGATTATTCCCTTTGTGGAACAGAGCTCTTCCCCCGTAGCCCCCCTCAGACTTTTCTTGTTGACTACTACTTTTTTTTTGTTTGTGGGGGAAATTTTATAGACCCAAATTCTACCAATTTTTCCCTTTTTTATTCCTTTTTTAAAGCATTTTGTGCGTTATTACCCCAAATGGTCAAAACTTGTCAAAAGGCTTTTGCAAAGTCTGTTTTCTATTTTACATTTTAATTCTTTTTGTCTTCTGTGCATCTGGGGCCCTTGTCTTTAGTGTTCCGGGACGGGACAGGAGTAAACCTGCTCAAAAACCCTTTTGCCTGGGTTGTGTTTAATTTTGGGGGTTTATCTGGTTTGGGGTGGAAAATCTTCCCACCCTTAGGAACTTTGAGGTGTTTTTTAAATGTTTTTTATGGTTTTATTGGTCGTTTCTTCATATCTTTGAAGAATGGTTTAGAGATGATTCTATTCGATTTCGGGAAACTGGAAGTAGGGGTGATAT